TTCTTCGAAATTCCACCCACTCTTTGACATTCGTCACACCTCTTCACAAGTTCACTTGCATCTGTGTACAAAGTTGGCCAATAAAACCCACAACTAAGAACTCTGGAAGCCGTCCTCGCCCCACCATGATGGCCACCATAGGGAGAGGAATGACAAGCCTTCAAGATACTCAATTCCTTTTCCTCCGGGATACACCTTCGGATCACACCATCCGTGCAAATCTTGAACAAGTACGGCTCATCCCAACAGAAATCCAAACTATCCCGCTTGGGCTTCTTCCTTTGGTTAGAAGAGAGCTCACACAAGATTATTCCAGTCACAAGGAAATTAGCAACATCCGCAAACCATGGCATACCATTCATCGACACCGAAAGGAGTTGTTCGTCGGGAAATGAATCATTGATCTCTAGGTGATCACGAGGCCTCCCCTCCTCCTCCAAGCGGGACAAGTGGTCCGCCACTTGGTTCTCACTACCCTTCCGGTCCACAATCTCCAAATCAAACTCTTGAAGTAACAAGACCCAACACATCAGTCTAGCTTTGGAATCCTTCTTCGTCATCAAGTACCAGAGTGCGACATGGTCAGTATGGATTATGACCTTGGCACCCATAAGATACTGCTGAAATTTCTCTATTGCGAACACAATAGCCAAAAGTTCTTTCTCAGTCACCGTGTAGTTCAATTGAGCATCATTCATTGTCTTGCTCGCATAGTACAACGGATGAAATATTTTGTTCATTCTTTGATCCAAAACCACCCCAACAGCAACATCGCTCGCATCACACATGAGGTCAGAGGGTAAGCTCCAATTAGGTGCGATAAAGATAGGAGTGGTGGTCAACTTATGCTTGAGAAGTTCAAAGGCTTACATATATTTGTCATCAAACATGAACTTGGCATCTTTTTCCAATAACTTGCACAAAGGATTCACTACCTTCGAAAAGTCTTTGATAAATCTCTGGTAGAACCCTGCATGCCCAAGAAAACTTTGAACTCCCTTGATAGATGTAGGGGAAGGGAGTCTTGAAATAACATCAATTTTTGCTTTGTCTACCTCAATACCATGTTTAAAAATTTTATGCCCAAGAACTATGCCCTCTTCCACCATAAAGTGACATTTCTCCCAATTGAGAACAAGATTGGTTTCTTCACAACGGGCCAAAACTCTATCAAGATTCTTCAAGCACTCATCAAATGAATCACCCACAACACTAAAGTCGTCCATGAACACCTCCAAAATGTCCTCCACCATATCGGTGAAAATGGACATCATACACCGCTAGAATGCAGCTGGTGCATTACACAACCCAAAAGGTATCCTAGAAAAGGCAAAGGTGTCATATGGACAAGTGAATGTGGTCTTCTTCTGATCTTCCGGAGCAATCAAGATTTGGTTGTACCCAGAATACCCATCCAAGAAACAGTATAAGGCACACTCAGCAAGTCGGTCTAACATCTGATCAAGAAAAGGCAAAGGAAAGTGATCCTTGCGGGTCAGTTTATTCAACTTGCGGTAGTCCATGCATACCCTCCAACCGGTGACGGTTCTGGTAGGAATCAACTCATTTTGTGAATTTTCAACCACGGTCATGCCACCCTTCTTCGGTACACATTGCACCGGTGAAGTCCAAGAGCTATCAGAGATGGGGTACACAACCCCGGCATCCAACCACTTGATCACCTCCTTTTTCACCACTTCTTGCATTGCCTCGTTCAACCTCCTTTGATGTTCCAAGAAGGGCTTTGCATCATCTGCCAGAATAATCTTGTGCATATAGAATGCGAGGCTTATCCCCCGAATATTAGCTAGAGTCCATCCAATTGCGTTTTTTCACTTTTGAAGCACCGCCAATGTGGCATCAACCTGCATGTTAGTAAGACAAGAAGAAAGAATAACTAGCAAAGTAGAACTAGGGCCTAAGAACTTATACCTGAGGTGTGGAGGCAGTGGTCTCAACTCCAACACCGGAGGCTCCTCAATTGAAGGTTTTGTTGGTGGAGTCTTCCTATTCTCGAGATCCAAAGAGAGTTTCCTAGGCTCATAAGAGTAAGAGCCCATTCCATGTAAATCATTCACACACTCCACTCGGCCCTCATCATCATTGACATCAAGATTCAACAATACGGCCTCCAATGGGTCCTCCACATTGATCATTGCACTGGTGCCATCAGCTATTACTATTGTGACAAGGTTTACAAAAGAGCACACCTCGGTACTATTGGACTGCTTCAGTGACTTGCACACATGAAAGATCACTTTTTCATCACCCACCCGGAAGGTGAGTTCCCCTGCTTACACATCAACTAAGGCCTTTCCCATAGCAAGAAAAGGTCTCCTCAATATGATAGGAACTTCAACTACAAGAAAATGGCAAAATTGTGACAGACGGTTCGGTCACAATTCCATCACAAATTTGTGTTAGTGACGGAATTGTAACAAAAACGGGGATGTCCCAGAACCTTTGGGCGTAATTTTTTTTTTTTTACGGATCAAATTTCGGTCACAAAATTTTTGTGACAGATTTATGACAAAAATCGTTCGTCGCCATATAGAGGCTATATATAATAGAACATACGAAGTTAAAACATGCCAAAATATAAGTTCTACTAGCAAAAGCCTAAACATATTAAAAATTAGAAAGCATCCAACAATCAAAATCCTGCCAACATTAAAATAGCACTTAGAGAGTATCCAAGTAGCTAAAGTTTAACAATGTTAAATACTTAAGCATTTGGTTAGTCCTTGTTAAAGGGAGTAGGAACACCATATGGGTGAGATGATAACGCCATCTCGCTCATCCTGCGCATCCATAGACCGAAATCGATCATCATTCTGTTGATTCAAAAGCGAGACCTCTTGGTCTACGCGTTTGTTGCACCTCTGCCTCCACGCGCTCTTGAAGAATCCTCTCTTGTGTTTCTCTCATACGCAACACCTCCTCCTCAAGCACTTTGATGCGCTCTTCAGCAGCGGGATCTGGTACTACAGGCAAATGGCGTGAAGTGGCAGCATTGCAGTCTTGATACAAAGTCGCAGCTTGAGAGCCCAATCCATACACGCGTCTTTTCTTCTCTCCGCCGACAACATCCAAGTATAGACGATTTATATCGGCATTTTGAACTTCTTGTGAATCATCGGATGAGCTCGGAATAGCAGCAGCCATCGCAGCTTCCATTTTATCCTACATACATTTATCAAAATAAGAAACTAATGAGAAGTAATATACAAAGATTTCCTATAATTAAGTTTTACAGCTCACTCACATAAGTAACTAAAGAAGCAAAGTTCATTATATGTAGTTTAAAACTTGAATCACAGATGCAAAGAAGCAAATCTCTAAAACTCATAAAAATAATTGTCATATATCAACTTGTCATAGACTCATAGGATTATCATTTTCAAGATTAGAATAAAAAAACTAGACCAGAATAGATGCTATCACAAGTTTTCAAATGATATTCTACTTAAGTAAAAATACACTTATACTTAGTGACTCATAAGCTGATTCTTTGAAGCACAATAAGAAGTAGAATAAGTCACAATATGTGTTTCATTTCTGCATCAGAACAAGAAATTAAATGCTAATTAAACAAGAAATGAGATGATGTGAAGAAGTTTTCAGATAAGTGGATTGCACCAGTAATATTCCTCATATTCATTCTCAAATAAAATGATGAAATATTATAAAAGAAACTTACACCAACAGTTTTAGACTTAGTATCCACAAAGTTCCCATCCTTTTTTTATGCAGCTTCTTAAATATATCCCATGAATTTGCTGGACGATGTAATTCTATTACCTGAATAATAGAGTACAATATTAAAATAGGAGATAAGGTCATATAATTACTCTATTGAAAGGTTAAATTCAATACCAATTTTATAGTATGCTCCACTATAGACCTAGAACAACCGGTATGCTTGCTTGGACCAGTGCCTGGACCACCAGTCTCGCAACACCGATTTTGAGTGGCGACACGAGATTTTTCAAGCCACTTTTCTGATGACCAGTGTGCCTGCCAGCTTTCCCATATATGCTCTTTAATAAAAGTAGGTCTGGTTCTAAATTTTCGCCACTTGTGCAGCTTTTTAGTATACAAGGTAGATGCCACTTTTTTCCCAGTATGTTTGATTATGGCATCCTCAGCAAAACTCCAGATATAATTTCTAACAAAAGATATTTGATCAGTGACATAAATACATATATATACTAAATAATTACTTATAATTTTTTTTATAGAAAGCGATATTTACCATAAATTCATGCCAATAGAAGTCACGAGTGGATTGGCAGACAACCTTCCATGTGTAACCAGTAGCATCTTGCCGCTCCATGAAGGTATCAGTGATGGTCTTCGAGATAGAATGACCATTAGGAACGAACCTGAACAAAATTAAATATAAATAACTAATACATTTCACGATATTTATATTTTTAAAAGTTAAAACATATATACAAAAATATTATTTCTTACTTTTCTCCCACAACTGAGATGGCCGACCGACTAGATGGACATGAGCCGGTAGTAGATCCAACAGAGATATCTGGAGTTCCAGGAGTACTAGGAGTACCAGGAACTGATGATGGCGAGTCACTCATATTCTTGAAAGTTTATTAATTAGCAATGGATCACAGCTTTGAATAAATACAAAATAGCTCATGAAATAACTCTTAACATAATAAATCTTAATAACTGAAGCAACAATGTTCCTTATAAGATAAAGTATTAGCTTTTACATTATATCAGTTCATTTTGTGTATACAAAAGATATGATGTACAGCTTATAACTGAAGCAACAAAGTTCCTTATAATATTAAGTACTAGCTTTCAATTACATTGACACAAAAGATAAGATGTACAACAAAAATTACAAAATATAAGGACATAACCAAATTCACTAAAACAGTACTTTCCTCCTTCCTGATTCTAAGAGAGAATTCAAATTAGATCCATTCAAAAACATAAACTTTTACCACTTTTACCACTTCAAGTAACATTTAGTTTATTCACTTTCTTCATCATCCCCTTCCTCC